ACATAAAGTTATATAAGATTAATCTGAGAGTTTTTTACCAAAAAGGAAATTTTTTTATAAAAAGGGAAATGATTTTCAATTTCAAGGCAATTCAGCAGGTGTTTTAATAACAAATTGAGAAATGATTTCCATAGAAAATCTCGTGACAAAATTTATAATAAATTTAAAATAAATGATCAACAAATGATCAACAAAATCGTTACTAGTTTTATAAAAAACGCCCAATAATATCTTTTTATTGTTTTAATATGAGCTTTACTATATATTTCCATCAAAATGTTCCAAAATAATATTAAAAAATATCCTCAAATTCAAAAATAAAATTATATCTGAATAATCTGATGTTATTTTTTATATACTAAATAATTTCAATAAAAGTAAATGGGGTTTAATTCCATTCATCTATAACAAATTAAAAAAAAAAATAGTTTAATTAAAATTTAAAAATAGATCAAAAAATCACATGTAAAAGAAATTACCTTTAAAATTAATATCAAGTTTATTTAAATCCATTTTTAAAGAAATCTTGTAAAATAAAAGAACAATTATTAATCTAAATAGATTTAAATAATTATTTTTTAATTAAAATTACCTGAATATTCTAAATCATCATTTTCTGCATTTTTGGGTTCTGGAAGATTTTTAAAATCCAAAAGTTTACTTGTATAAACTGCTTGAGGATGTGTTGTATATAAGAGATTACTAGTAGATGATAATGATGATTGAATCATTGAAGATGATAACTTTTTATTAATCTAATCCGTTTCTTTAACTTGCCCATAAAATACAGAATATTCGAACTTAATTTCAAAATGTAATCTATCTACTAACACATATAATTCATCTGCATTAGGTCGTTTTAAAGGGTCTGCATCCCAACATTGATTAATAATGGCAAAAATTGATTGAGGAATTTTATAATTAGACTTTGGCCTCAACCCCTTGCAAATTTTCATTGCTAATAATTCATCATGAGCTATATCATAATAAGGTGGGAAACCCGTACAAATTTCATATGCAATAATTCCATATCCATAAATATCACTTGCTTGTGTGTATTCTTTTCCTCTTAAAACTTCTGGTGCTACATAAGGTAATACTCCATATATTTTTTTATTACTATTTTGGTAGGATTTGACATTTACTGGTTGACATAATCCCAAATCAGTAATATAAACACTTAAACTATCGTTTAATATATTCCCACAATGAAAATCATGATGAATTAATCCTTTATCATGAATATCTTTAAGACCCATTGCAATTTTATATAAAATATTCAATTTATGCTCCCAATTCATTGAAATAAAGTTATTATTTAAATGTTGTCTTAAACTACTATCTTTTAATTCCATCACCATCATGAAATTATTTGTTTTTGGATATTTGGTATACCAAAACAACGAACTGTATAACCAGACCAATATACTAAAATATTTGATTCAACCTTAAAATAAAATTATAATTAGTTTAATATTTATATACTAAGGCTAATGAAGATTCATAAAAAAAAAAAATATCTTACTTCTTTTAAAAAATCTGTTGTAATTCCTTGTGAATTATATAAACATTTTAAAGCAACTTTTGTTTCACCTTCTCTTTCCCATTGATTATTATTACAATTACATATAGGACCATCTTTCCAAACTGCTTTAAAAGTAATACCAAATCCTCCTTTTGCTAAATATTCAACATTTTCAAATTTATCATATTCAATCCACTCTACGATTAGTTCCATAATATCAGCTTTTAATTGTGCTTTTTTAATAAATTCATCAATTTCATGATTTCCACTTGTCCAATTTTTGAAATTTTGTTGAAACATACAATAACTACACTGATAAAAAATTCTCTTAGGTTGCTTACAATTTCTACATAAACCATTTTCTGCATAATTTTCTTTTAATTCTTCGTCTGTTATTAGTTTATTAACTAATGATCTTTGTTCTTCAGTCAAACGAAAAGGATTAAAATCTTTTATTTGTTCAAATACATCATCACTTATTAGTTTAACTTCATCCATTTTAATAAATAATTTATTAAACAAAAATAAGTTATTAATTCGTATGTAAAAAACTACCAAAAAAAAAAAAANAAAAAAATCACCATATTTATTTTTATTGAACAAAAAAAAAAAAAAATAACAATAAATAAAAAAAATAATGGTGATGTAGTAATTATGTTGCAATGATTCAAGATCGACAAAATTATCAAAAAAGACTAGTTAAAATACATAAAGCAAATTGGCACAATTGAGGCTTGGTAACGTGAGTTTTAAGTTATACTGTACTTAAACTTTTACGAAATGTTGATATTAACTAGCCAAATTTGGGAAAGAAATCATTAATTCTATGGAATTAATATTGTATTAACAAATTTGAAAATAACTTATAAAGAATTGTGAATACAAAAAGTAATAAAAAACTTCATAATATATTAAAACAAATTATTTTAATGACGAAGTATAACGAAGGACTATATACTAATACAAAAATGTCAACTACCCCAAGAGCACCGTAACCAAAGTTACAGTCACGTGATATTTTGATCGTCAAATGTCCAATCAAAAAACATCTTCCCTATTCATTAATAACTTGCCGATAAAAATTTGTATTAAGAATATTAAATTTCGTGTTTTTTATAATACAACGACTTTAAAAATAATTAATAATAAAATACACCAAATTTTAAAGCAATTTATAAGACTACACATATTTTTATTGATGTATATTAGATACTATTATTACTAGATAGGCTTTACATATTAATAAAGAAGCTATTCTAAGAACATTGTATTCTTGTTATGATTCTTCCAAGTAGGGATAGATCGGTTCAAAATGGGTTGACTTGAGTCGATTCTGGAATAGGGATTGGAATCGATTCTACCAAAATCGAATTAATCAAAAATTGAATCGTCTGAATAGAATCGATTAATCAAATCTAAAAATCAAATCTCAATAAATCAATTATTTTGATATTATGGTGCAGCAAAAATAATGAGTATATAGTAAATTAGTACTGTACGGTAATACAAATTAGTACGGACGTTCAAAAAAAAAAAAATTTTAATTTTCCGTACTCAGACGGACCTTTAAAAATAAATTTTGATTTTTTCGTACTAATATTTTACATTGTAGCATCATGTGATCAAATTTTTGAGATGAATATGTTGCACAAAATATTTGAGTAATATAATCTGTCATCGTAAATATCTCTTTTAATTTTTTACTTCTTTGAAGAAGAAAAATAATTGGAAATATGGATATTTATAATATATCCGATGTTAAAGAATATCCATTTGAGCTATTAAATCCTGAATTTGAACAAATAAAATATAATAATGAATTGAAAAAATTAATAAATAAACCAATAAAATTTAGTTATTATTTTAATGGTCAGTTTTATTATTGTGGAGCTGAATATGTTAAAGGAATGAAAATTTATTAGCTTATCTTCAAAGAATTTTTTTAATTTTATAATTTAACATTTAATTTTATAATTAGTAAGATATTTTGTTGAAAACAATATTCGAAGTTGCACAAAAATACAAAAATGCAAAGTCATACGATTGTACGAAAACTCAAATTAATACGAAAATTTTAAAACTTTCGTACGTACTAGTATTAAAAAATTGATTAGCTGTAAATGTACGTACGAACAAAAAAAACACAAGTACGTACTAATTTGCGTTAGCGTACTGTCCTATTTTACTCAATACCTAAAATAATCTTGCCATTTCTATAACCGTACTTTGATAAAAAAAATCTCATCAAATTACTAAAAACGTTGATAAAATTAAAGATTCTGCACTTGAACATTCTGGCCGAAACTATAATGCTGACCAGAATTATGAATTAATGCGACCAATAAAAATTTTTATTTAAAACAATATATTATTTAATTAGAATAGAATTGGAATATTACAATTTATTATAATAATAATTTATAATATTGTCGTACTGTTGGCCTAAAACTGAATTTAATTTTAATTTAAATCCAACTTAATACAGAATTTCATGACGATCTACATCTGAACCAGGTTCGGATGATATTACAAATAGTAAAAAATCACATTGCAATATTATATTAATTCGATTAGATTTGATTAATCAAAATCGAAAATCGAATCCCTGAATCGAAACTTTGATACGATTAATCAAATTTTTAATCGATTCTTGAGATTAAATTTAAAAGATTCTGGATCTCTTAGGCTTAAAACTACTTTTAACCGTAAAAACTGTTCTGTAATATCTAGCTCACAGATCGCATGTTTAAGCTTTTCCAAGCTTTTCTTAAAGTGTTACAGGATAGTTTATAATTGAATCATTTTGAAAAGATATGGGGAATGAACTCTTTCCTATAATTTTCTTACAAAATTTTTTTCACGGCTGTTCGATATTTCAAGACAGCTCTTTCAATGAATAACACTTTTCTTCAACACATTAACTCACAAACACATTTTATTAACTTTTAACATATACTTTAGCTAGAAATAAATAGTATACAATTTCAGGAGCAAAATTTTTTTACGACTAGCTTGTTTAGTTCTCTTATCCTTTTCGTAATATTATTTTTTCTTCCTATTAATATGAGCTCAGTTGATGACACAACCAACAAACTTCATACCAATAACCGAAAACCCGTCCCTTAAAATGACTTACTGCGCCTTTATAAACTGAAAAGCTGTTCACAGCAGGACACAAGACAGGTGACACTCGACACTCGAGGGGTATTCACATTGTACAAGATTGCCAGATATTACCTTTTACGAATTAAACCTGAAATACTTGATTCGTATGACATGATTACAAACAATGATCGACACTGAAAAGTCTGCTCCAAGAATCCCAATATTAGATACGTGATTAGTAATTATCTAACTTACGTATTTTCATTAGGTGGCATTTTTTCAAAAATGAAAGATCAATACAGGAGGAATGGTAATTATCGTGAAATTATTTGTACAGGATTTTTGCTTCTCTTTGTTAATATCTCTGATAGAACTGGCCATGCCTAAATAGTTTGAGGTTTGTTTTTTAGGCAGGGTGGTCTCACGCGTGGGATTAGGTTTTAACTTTTAGAATGTTTAGTTTTATTACTTTATTTTAGAGTGATTTCTACATGGTGTTGTACCTCCGTTCTGTCGTCATATTAAAAGTAAAAATAAAAATTAAAAGAATCATTTTGAAAAACACAAAAAATGCTGCATGTAATTATGAAATTTTTCTGAAGAAAATTTATTTAAAGGTCCAAGGACCCAGACCTTCATCTTAAACATATTTATATTTTATTGGTTATTATTTTAATTTTTATTTTATTTATTTTTATTTATTCAGATTACTTTGAGTGATTGGTGATAATTAATATCAGATTATGAACAAATTTAATTTTAAATTCTTTATGAAATTACATTATATAATTTTAAAAATTATGGTAAAAGTTTATTTTCACTCCTTCCCTATGAAAAGTCTTTATACTTAAAATATGCTTAAAATAAGTATCGATTTTAATTTGCGATAGTGTTTGCGTTGTGCAAAAGAAATGCAAATATTCTGTATGATCGTCACAGCCATCACTTTAGGTGTAACTGATGTTGGCTTTAACAAAAAAAAAAGTGATATTAAAATTATTCTAAGATACTGTGTTACGTCGTATTAAGAAAATTTCTTTGTTTTAAGGTTTTGCTGTGTAACAATGATAGATATATATGCAAAATTTTTTATGATCCTGGGTAGTTACCGGATGCATCCAGGGTAGTCCCAGGATGATCATTGATGTTATATATGAAGTTAATTTTGAAGGTTGCTTTGAAATTTTTTTTTCTTTCTTATTTTTTTCTTTCTTATTTTTTTCATTTTTATTGTAGATCCAGGAAGCTGAAAGACAAGATCCAGTCTCCAATTCTGAAGGTATAACCTTCAAAAAAAAATCTATTTATTTAATGAACATTAATTAACATTTGTTCTTATTTTTGTTGGTCCAGAACACTGAAAGTATGCAGTATGCTAATTTTGAAAAAATTCAATTTTATCTTTTTAAAAAAATTATCTTTTCAAAAAAATTAAAAAATTCGATTTTTATTTTATTCTGAAAAAAATTAATTCGTTTTTTATTAAAATTTATTAGTTAAATATTTTACAATATTCTTAGTTTGTAATTTAAATAATTCCTTTTTTTTATATTTTATTCATATATGTATTCTCTTTTTTTTAGAACTAAGGCTAGAGTAGTACTAAATATTTTCACAAATGTCAATCTTTTTTTATTAACTTTTCCAATTATTAAATATAAATTATCAAAATAATTCCAATGTATAAAATTAAAAAAATTTTTTATATTCATTTCAATGGCTAATTGTATTTTATTTATATTGTTAAGTGTTAACTTTTATTCTTAATATTATTTAAAATCTGTAAAAATATTCTTTAACTATTTAAGAAATTATATTATTAAGATGACATTATACATGATTATATATAATTACCGTAAAGTCCCGAATATAAGCAACCTATTTTTGTTATAAGGGTGCTTATATTCGGGTAATTTTAACATTGGAACATAATATAAACTCTGGAAAAGAATTTTTGCTTAAACTTTCAAATAAAAATTAATATATAACGTAATTTTCAATTATTGCGGTTTTGCAATTTTTAAATTTTTGTGAAACATTCGTGCACAGCATGACAATCATATCCTTAAAACGCGTTAATTTTTTTGATCAACTTTTAAATAATTTTCTTCAAGTTATCAAAAATGATATTTTTTCATACAAAGAAAAGCCACGATAAATAATGCCACAAGTTGCCAAACACAAACGAGTTGTCAAACACAAATGAGTTGTCAAACGTAAAGCCTTCAAAAGTAATGTTAAACGAACTTTATACTCTATTAAACAAAAAGAAGAAGTTGTTAATTACACAAAAGAGTATGGAAGAAATAGCGCGGCAGCTCACTTTGGAATTAACAAAAGTATGGTTGGACGCTGGGTTAAGGCGAGTATAAACTGGACAGATGAAATAAACAGAAATATTAAGAAAGTTGGTACAGGGCGAAGGGTTTTTTATCCTGAAGTTGAGAAAAAGCTCTATGACTGGATAATTGAATAAAGGAAACAGGGGTTTGCTGTAACCTATTCAATTATACGAGTCAAGATGCTAGAAATTTTGAGAGATCCAGATATTATAGTTCTTTATGGGAATTTAATGAACGATTTTAAGATGTCTAATCGTTTGTTATATGCATTTATGAAGCGGCAAAAATTATCCTTGCGACTTCATACAAAGATTTCACAAAAACTTCCATAGCAAACTGAACAATTGTTAGAAAGTTTTTATCAATTTGTTACTCACCTTAGAATTGAAAAATCATATGAGATGTGCAACATCTTCAATATGGATGAGACCCCAGTGTATTTTGACATGGCGGGTAATTTTACTGTCAATCAAACAGGTGAAAAAACCGTTCATATTCGTGGGACAGGTAATGAAAAAAATTGATTCACTGTTGTTCTTACTTGTGCTGCTGGTAAGTACTATAGTAGGTCCTATTTCTAGCAAACAATCTTAAAAAAATTTTTAAAATACAGATGGGACCAAATTGCCACCAATATGTATTTTCAAAGGAAAAAGATTAGGACGTGGTGAACAAATTCCGTCTGGTGTGGTGGTTTGGTTCCAAGAGAATGGTTGGATGGATTCAAAATTAATGATTAATTATATTGACTACTATTTTAACAATAATCGATCTAGAGATCCAACTATGCTTGTTTATGATTCTTTTAGGGGCCATCTTGAAGAATCTGTTAAAGCAAAATTTCATGATAACAATATTGATTTAGCAGTTATCCCAGGTGGGTTGACAAGCATCTGTCAACCACTTGATGTCGCTATAAACAAGCCATTCAAGGACAACCTCCGCAAAGAATGGCACTTGTGGATGGCAAATGGTGGTGCTGGAGAAACTACCGCAGGAAACCTTAGACGTGCTAAGTATAGTGATGTTTGTAATTGGGTAAAACGTGCATGGGAAAATATATCTAACGAGACCATAATTAATTCTTTTGTAAGTTGTGGTATAACAGATTCGTTAGATAGTGATCATGAAGAATTAGAAATTTCGGATATTGATGATACTTTGTAAAATTGTAATAGGGATTATTATTAGTTTCGCATTTATTTTTTTACAAACGTTTTATATATAATTTTGATAATTCTATGACATTTATGCTTTAATTTCAATAAAATTACCATATAATCAATATATGCATATCGGAAATTTATTTTTTTACAAATTTTTCAAAAGGGTGCTTATATTCGGGTAAAATATAAATTAGGGTACTTATATTCGGGAGGTGCTTATATTCGGGACTTTACGGTATTTTAACTTTATAATAAGCATTGATAGGCAGTCCAATGGTCAAATTGTAAAATATTTTTTAGAACTTTTTTGTTTACAGCATTTGTAAAAATATTTCAGTAGTCATTTACGAATTTATTACGAATTTTTTTTTTCAGATCATATTAACATTTCTTAGTAAAGACGTATATGTAAAATCAATTTTAGAAAATTTACGGAACCAACTACTCAAATTGAGTCATTTGACGATCACCATACCATCATTTGAAGGCCAATCAAAATTTTTCTGGTTGATCATCATCACATGCTCTACTTGTATCTTAAATTTGATGTACTGTATGTAGCATATATTTATTTATTATAGCTGATATAGAATCGAATTAGAACCAACAAATCGAATTTCATCCCTACTTCCAAGTGCGTGGAAAAGTTATTCTTCTTGAATATGATTTAATATCATCAACTACCTTTTCTTCCTAAAAAATTTTTAACTACTGAATTGGGTCAGCGATAACTTTTTAAACTAGAGTTGGGGAATATTGGATTTCACCAAAAAATTATGATTTGCGTCCTTTTGGTATTTATATTAAAAAAGAAAAGATATCATTGTTTATTAATATAGTTATTTTAGCTCAATGCAGATCAGTGCACTGGAAAAATGTAGTCCGAAAAAATTTTTATTGTACCTTCTATTTTTGGTTAAAGTATTCCTTTTTAGTAATTCATTCACATCATGTATAAAATATAAAAAAAAAACTAAAATTTGTCAAAAAAAAAAAAAAAAAATTTTTTTTAAATAAAATAACTTTCTAAAATAACTAAATGGAAACTAATTTAAATAATTTAAAAATCTCAGACAAAGATACTGATATAGTAAATAATAATGAAATTTGTTTATATTGCAATAAACCTTTTATCAAAGAATTATGGTGTAAAGAATGTATTAATTCTTTGGAAAAATTAGCGGAAAATGGAGATAAAATGGTAATATTAAATTTAGCCAATAAATATAAAAATGGAGAAGGAACAGACAAAAATTTTGAAAAAGCCTTTTATTGGTATCAAAAAGCAGTAGACAATGGTAATAAAGATGCAATATTTAGTTTAGCTAATAGTTATTATTATGGAGAAGGAACCGAAAAGAATTTAGAAAAAGCCTTTTATTGGTATCAAAAAGCAGTAGAAAATGGTGATACAGATGCAATATTTTGTTTGGCCATATGTTATTTTTATGGAGAAGGAACAGAAAAGAATTTAGAAAAAGCCTTTTATTGGTTTCAAACAGCAGTAGAAAATGGTGATAAAGATGCAATATTTGACTTAGCTAATAGTTATTATTACGGAGAAGGAACAGAAAAGAATTTAGAAAAAGCCTTTTATTGGTATAAAATGGCAGCAGAGAATGGAGATAATTATGCAATGCTTTATTTGGGCATATGTTATGAAAATGGAGAAGGAACAGACAAAAATTTCGAAAAACCCTTTTATTGGTATCAAAAAGCAGCAGAAAACGGGGTAAAAGAAGCAATGAATAATCTAGCTGTATGTTATGAAAATGGAGAAGGAACAGAAGAGAATTTAAAAAAGGCCATTTATTGGTATCAAAAAGCAATAGAAAAAGATCATATTGAAGCAATGTTTAATTTAGCTGTATGTTATAAAAATGGAGAAGGAATAGAAAAGAATTTAGAAGAAGCCTTTCATTTGTATCAAAGGGCGGCAGAAAATGATCACACTGATGCAATGTTTAATATTGCCTTATGTTATGCAAATGGAGAAGGAACAGAAAAGAATTTAGAAAAGACCATTTATTGGTATCGAAAAGCAATAGAAAAAGATCATATTGAAGCAATGTTTAATTTAGCCGTATGTTATAAAAATGGAGAAGGAATAGAAAAGAATTTAGAAAAAGCATTTCATTGGTATCAAAGAGCAGCAGAAAATGATAATACCGATGCAATGTTTAATTTTGCCTTATGTTATGAATATGGAGAAGGAACAGAAAAGAATTTAGAAAAAGCCTTTTATTGGTATCAAAAAGCAGCAGAAAATGGTGATAAAGATGCAATGTTTAATTTAGCCATATTTTATAAAAATGGAGAAGAAATAGAAAAGAATTTAGAAAAAGCCTTTTATTGGTATCAAAAAGCAGCAGAAAATGGTGCAAGAACAGCAATGAATAATTTAGCTAATATTTATCATAATGGAAAAGGAACAGAAAAGGATTTAGAAAAAGCCATTTATTGGTATCAAAGAGCAGCAGAAAATGGTGAAGAAGGTGCAATGTTTAATTTAGCCAGATTTTATGAAATTACAGAAAAGAATTTAGAAAATGCTTTTCATTGGTATCATAAAGCAGTAGAAAATGGTGATGAAGGTGCAGTGTTTAATTTAGCTGTTTGTTATAATAATGGAAATGGAACAGAAAAGAATTTAGAAAAAGCCTTTTATTGGTATAAAAAAGCAGTAGAATATGGTGATGAAAGGGCAATGTTTAATTTAGCAATATGTTATAAAAATGGGGAAGGAACAGAAAAGAATTTAGAAAATGCCTTTTATTGGCACCAAAGAGCAGCAGAAATTGGTTACACTGACGCAATGTATAATATTGCAGAATGCTATAATAATGGAGAAGGTACAAAAAAGAATTTAGAAAAAGCCTTTTATTGGCATCAAAAAGTAATAGAAAGTAGCAAAATAGGTTTTGAAAATGAAGTTGAATTATGTAGTGAATGTAAACAACCATATATTGATTACCAGTGGTGCCAACAATGTAGTACTAAACGATTTCAACAAGATTTTTCAAAGTGGACAAGTAATAATAAAGTTATTGATAAATTTATTCAAGAAGCACAACTGAATGCTAAAAATAGTTACGAAATTTTAGAGTGGATACCTTATAACAAATTATCAAATATTAATTATCATGATAAAGGAGGATTTGGTGAAATTTATAAAGCTATCTGGTTAGATGGACCTATTTTTAATTGGAATTTTGACGAACAACAATGGAATAGACAAACAGATTATGATGTTGTTCTTAAAACACTTAATAATTCATCAAGTTTAAGTAGTAAATTTTTGGATGAGGTATAATATCTTTATATTTAATAGCAAATTGCAAATTTTACTTTCTTTTGCAAAAATTTAATAATCCTTTTATTATTTATGCAGTGGAAATATCATTATAATTGTCAGAAAAAATCATTTTCAAAATTTATTCAATTTTTTGGAATTACCCAAGAACCAAATAATTTAAATTATAGTATAGTAATGAGTTATGCAAAAAAAGGGAGTTTAAGAAAATGTTTATCTGATATAATAAAATTTAAGTGGCAAGACAAGTTACAATTATTGAAAAAAATTGTACTAGGGCTTAAAGTAATTCATGAATCAAATTTAACACATGGTGACTTTCATGATGGTAATATTTTAATGTCAGAAAATTACAATGAGTTATTTATTATTGATTTAGGGTTATGTAAGCCTATAAATGATTTACAAGATTCTGATAATGATGATAATGAAATTTATGGAATTTTGCCTTATATGGCACCAGAAATATTAAGAAGAAATCCTTATACAAAAGCAAGTGATATTTATAGTTTTTCAATAATAATGTGGGAGTTTACATCAGGTAATTTCCCATTTAAGCATGAAGCACATGATCATGACCTTATTTTGAGTATTTGTAAAGAAGGAAAACGTCCTGAAATTATAAAAAATACTCCAAAATGCTATATAGATTTAATGAAAAAATGTTGGGATTCAGATCCTTCTAATAGACCAACCATAATAATGCTTGAAAATATTATATCTGAATGGATTAAATGTATTAATGAATACTATGAAGTAAATGGAGATGTAAATGATAAATATGAAGTATCTAATATTGATAATCAATTAAGAAGTGAGATGCTTGAATTTATTGAAGCGGACAAAACTTTAGTACTAGAACAAGCAAATACTTCTATTATGCAATCTCATCCACAAGTACAAGATCAATCAAATACTTCTATTATACAATCTCATTCACAAGCATACTATACAAGTCGCAAACTTACTGAAATTATAGTTCAATCAGAAACTGAGTGTTTTGAATCATGTGTAATTAAAGATTAACAATTCTGTTATTTATTCTTGTCTGTTACAAAAATTATTTATATTATATACTTTCATAATTTTTATAATAAATATTATTAATTCAAGTATATAAACAAGTATTAAAATAAGGTTTATTTGTTTAATTATATATTTTCTTTTTATTTGCAATTTGTTAAATTTGTTAGCAAATTTAAGTTCCATATTTCAATATTTTACTATCATTATCAGTCATCAGGAAGTTTTTTGGCATGTGGACCTATAAGGAATTCAATGACCGAATTCCAGATTATTACCTAGTTCCTAGCGAACTTGATTATGAGGAGGACCAAGATGCTGAGGAACCTGCATCTCCAGCTACAGATTAAACGTTATGTTAAAATTCAAACCTTTAAATGACCGGATGAGCCATCTGAACATATTATTGGTAATATTATAAACGTATTTCTTTTAAAAAGAAAATCGTTTTATTTTTTAAAAAATTCTTTTCTTAATTTATTTTAAAAAATTCTTTTTCTTGTTTTTCTATGATATTGAGTTAAATCTAAAGATAATATTGCTACAAAATGGATTTAATATTAGCCAAATTAATTAATTATTTATTTTTCCAAAAATAAACTAAATAAAAAATATGAATATTTTTGTTATTATAAAATTTGTAAAATAAAGTTAACTAAGATTGATTCTAAAATTATTATTATTAAAAATTAAAGGCCATATCTAATAAATTTTACTAACATGTTGAAATCTTGTTATAAAATTTCTTTAGAACAACTAGATAGGATAAGCAAAATTTGTAAAAAAAAAGAGATATATTAAAATATCGTAAAAATTTTATTACTTATCATATCTATAAATTTAACTTTAATATTAAGACAGAGTTGGTTTGTTAATATAAACGTCCTCAATATATCTATCTACTATCTATCTTACTAAAATAACACGAATTTAAGAATTATTTAAAAAGTTTTTAACATCAGTGTAACAAATGATGTGAAAATTCAGGGCTTTAAATAAAATTAGTGTGATCTATTTATTTTTTTCAAAAAAAAAAAATTAGCTTTGACAGTTTGACTTCACTCGATAAGTCACGTGTAATATATTTGATTGGATAAATATCACTTATTTGATATTATTTCCGGTAATCTCGGATTTTTCAATACTAATTTTATATTGGCATCGTAACAGCTGTTAAAAACTTACTATCTTTCTGTAAAATGCAATTGTTATTTATTTATATATTAAATCAAATTTATAAGGTTAATAATTTTGTTCCATCACGAAATGAACAATATTTTATACTCAAAAAAAAAATCTGGCCATACATGTATACATATATTTATATAAAATGTTCGTATAAAATTAAAAAAAGCAGTTTGTACTATAATAGAATGAAAGAAAACTTGGAATAAATCGAAAAAAGTTGTTTATATTTTGTAATAAGGATAAATCTAATTGTAAAAGCCTGTTACGCGTCTTATTTGTAACAACCCCAATTTTATCCAATTAAAATTTAGATCAGGCGTAATGTAAACAAAAACAAAAGATCAGTCGTGTAACTAAGACAAAAGAATTTTTTAAAAAATTTCAAGAAACTGCTTATAACTTAAAATTTTGTCTATAAAACTGTCTTAAGTACATTAAGTAAAAGTTTTCCAAATTAAATTTTGCATATAAAAATTTTATTTGTGAAACACATTAAATTTATTATTAAAAAAAAATAAAAAAGGATGTTACAAATAAGATATGTAACAGGCTGTTACAAATACATTTTTTCTTGTAATAAAATCTAAGGAAAAAAAAAAATACGAAAAGAACAGTGATAAAACGAAAGAAATAAAATTGTGATAACTAAAACAATTTGTTATGAAAACTAAAAGAAAAAAAGAATAATAAACGAAATAATTTAAATTTTTACATCTTAGAATTTATGCCACGATCATCGCGTTTGATAAGTTTAAGTCATAATCATCATTTTTTTAATTTCATTGTTATAAGCCAAGGTTAAAAAATGTCTTCATATTTAACGATCATCGCCTGGGTTTTTTTTTCAAATATTTCACATGATATACAACATATAGAGTAAATTTATTAATCGGCTGATGGCCGATTTTTTTAACTTAGCTAATTTTTGATCGGTTAAACTTAAAATTTTATCGTAAAAGATATTTTTAAAAAAAAAATTTTTTGCTAACATATTTATTCAAAATAATCTTATTTAAAGAAAAAATCACCGTATTTATTTTTAACGAAGTGATACAAATAAAAGAAACAATAATAATAAATAAAAAGATAAGTAAATTACAATGATCAAGAAGAAAGATGCTAATAAAGAATGAGATAACAATGGAGTAATGGAAAGTAATAGAAGATGAAAGGGAGTAAAAAAGAGTAATGAGAAGTGATAGGGAAGTAAGGGAACAAAAAGGAGAAATAGGACATGATGGGAGATGAAAAGGAGCAATAGGAGATGAAAAGAATTGATGGGAAGATGAAGAGGAGTGATGGCAGATAAAAAGGAGTGATGGGAGACAAAGAGGAGTGATGGGAGACGAAAAGGAGTGATGGGAGACAAAAAAAAATAATGAGAAGTAAGCAGGATAGAAAAGAGACAATAGAAAATGAAAAGATGTAATAGAAAATAATGGGAGACGAAAGGATGGAATAATGAAAAGTAATAGGAGGTGAAAAATGATGAGAGAAAAAATAAAAAAATGATCATGATAGGAGGTTGGGTAATGATAGGAAACCAAGTAAAAAATAAAACCATAAAGTAAAAAAAAATGTAGTTAGTAAGAAACGAAATATAAGATAGAAACGAAATAAAAAAAAAAAATAAAAAATATACATTTATTAGTTGTAGAATCAAAAAACTAAAATATCTAAAAAATAAAAAAAAAAAATTAGTAAAAACAAAATATTAAACAGAAAAAATAAAAAAAAAAATCATAAAAAAAAGAGTAAGAAACGAAACGTAAAGTGAAAAACAGAACCTTAATTGCAGAACTGGAAGAACTAAAGGACCTAAAAATAACGAAATAGAGTTAGTAAGAATAAAGTGTAAGATTGTAGGTTAGAAATAAAAATATCGAAAGAACCGAGGAAATGAACCTATACTAAAAATGAGATGCGATCATGTGGCCAATCAAGATATTAAATCTGCCACGTGACCAAAGACCCAAGGCGACAATTACCCAGGCGATGTTTAGCAATTCCCAAACTATAAATATAAAAAATAATTCTTTAAAATTTATTTGTAAAAAAAATAAAGTTCAATAACTTTTTAAAGCCATTCAATCCTGCAATTCTACCGAAAATGAACATCCAATTGATCCAAATTACATGTAGCTGGCATGCGTAACCGGCAAATAAATCCAGCCATCACTTTTTGGAGTGATGCTAGGTCACTACTTGGTATTTAAATGAGACAAGATCAATTAACAAATTAACATCACTATTTTATCTCTTGACCCAAATCTCATTCTTCATACCTGGTTAAAATCAAACAAGAAGCAAATTAATAGTACAAACATAGTACAAACATAACATCATTTATTCAAAATAGCAATCTTCATTAAAAACCAAAAAAATAAACATCAATCTAAAATTGCAAGGTATTATTTATTCACTTTTAATAAATCTCATTTCTTTTTCTAAAAAATACTATATCTAATCAAATAATTCCAATTATTAATCATTATTAATTTTATGACGTATTATTTGAGTAATAAATTGACGATTAATAATAAATCATATTATTGTTATAATTCTGGTTGGCCTAGTGATGCCGAAACATTTAGAGTTTTAATATCAGCTATTTGTTGCAAAGCTATTATAATTGAAGTTTAAATAATAGTGAATAATGGGAACTCTTTCCACCGATCATCATGTCCACAGTTCAAAAAGCATATAGGAAAGTTTTTATTTGGCGCATTTCAACATGACCAACTGTTTATCCACTCTTTTAAGAACATTTTTGCAGAAGTTTCACTTGGGGACTAGTAGTTTTCAAATTTCTCTTCCAAAATGCTATTTCTTTCCGTCAGCCAATATGGTGGCGACCCAAAATAGGGCCAAGTAGGGCGAGGTGTTGCTCCAATAAAGTGTTGTCAGAAGGCGATAACAGAGGCTCGGAGAAATACAAAGAAAACTTACTTTTGGATATTGGAGTGTAGCTCGGACGCTTTTGATTTTTGGCTTCTTGGGAATTTTTTGTCACAATTTTTTTTTCGGTCGGCGCAGCAAAAATTTAGCACGCGGATGGATTTCAAAAGTAGTAACCAATCGGATTGATGAGAGATGAGGTGATTTACTGTGGGACAAAACCACGGCAACAGATTTACCCGAAGTGGGATTAGCCATTTCCGCAGTAAATCACGTGGTGTGACGTTAGTGACTATGATGGAGGAACCTTATTCTCAAGTCTCATGCTTGCATGAAAAAAAATTTCGAGAAGCAAAGTTAAAAGGTTTCTTTGAGGGTGGATCTCCCTACGAATTTTCAAGGAATTGAACTTGACGAGAGCGCTGCGATCTAACCTATATGCTTCGTGTTCAATGGTGTTTCGAATAGTTTAGTTTCTTGAGAATACATAGACTAATAATGTTGCTTTTATAGGTTGAGTGGGTTGCAGGTGTTCGACGTTGGAAGAGCGGTGTAATATCTTCTGAACAAGTGGAGAATTTTGTTCAGGTTAGGAACCACTTCCGTATAATGGAGAATGCTTGTAATCTTATCCAGATAGTTAGGGAGGTTGTAGGGTTTATGATAGGTTTGTTTGTGTGTTTTTGTTTTTGTATTCTTTGTTTTGGTAGGATAGATTGATTTGTTATAGGACCATATCGTGTTGGCACGTATGTTTCCTAGATAGGTATTTCTATAATTAGGTATCTATCCTATATTTAATAAAGAAATGCGCTACAAATTTTAAAAAAAAAGTTATTGGTAAGAATCATTTGCAAACAAGATTAAAAATTATAAAAAGCAGACAATACAAAAAATTCTAACCGTGTAAAAAATACTGACCTGGGTTTTATGCTTCCATATTTTTTTTGTGAATGTAATCCTTTCATGGAATTTATAGTCTTACATCATGGAAAATTTCATACGGATATCCGTGAATTTATCATTTTCACGGAATTTTTACGAAGGTCATGGAGAAATAATGAAAATATACGGATAAATCATGGCTTTCCAAGCAGGATGAGAAAGTGAATAGTTCTTTGGGAACCATCGGAATAGACTTAACTAAATAATAGGATCGAACCTTTGCCGATTTAACATATTTATTTAACATTAATATTAAAAAAGAATTAGCATATTATGGAAAGATTATCTCAACAAGAATTAAGAGATTCGGTAAATGGAGTCAAAATTCCAAGTATAGATAAAAATTTATTTTAATCCAATGAAGGACATTTTAATTTCAAAGTTCATTGATCTCACTAATCCGTTGTTCGATTCTACTTCTTAATTTCAATTAATACATTTTAATGTACAATAATTTAACAAATTGAAGTCAATTATGAAATATGAACTATATTTTTCAAGGATTTAGTAAATAGAATGTTTAAAGAAGATTGCGTCAATCAGTATCATCATTAACAAAAAAATTTAATAATAAAACAAGACTACTAGTTATGTAAGGTTTTTATGCACTTCTGTTTATTTTAAATTTATTTATTTGAAATTTCCTTATATATATGTACAATCACGCACAAAAAAAATTTTAATTATGTCGAAAGTTAATCATTTCTCACTTAACTTTTCATGATAAGAAAATTTTTTTTTTTTATGCAAGGGGCGATAGACATGCATATTTATATATGTGTTTCAAAATAAAAAAAGCTTAATTAACTTTTCACAATAAAAAAAATTTTTTTTTTTTATGCATGAGGCAAAATTTACATATAGATTTATACACGTGTTTCAAGTAAAAAAGCTCAATTAACTTTTCATAATAAAAAAAAAGAATTTTTTTNATTTATACACGTGTTTCAAGTAAAAAAGCTCAATTAACTTTTCATAATAAAAAAAAAGAATTTTTTTTTATGCAGAGGGCGAAATTTTACGTACAGCCATGAATATGAGAGTTTCAATAAAAAAGCTTAATTAGCTTTTCACAATAAAAAAATTTTTATTTATGCAGGAGGCGAAATTAACGTACAGATTTAAGCATGTGTTTCAAGTAAAAAAACCCAATTAACTTTTCATAGTAAAAAAAAAATTCTTTTTTTATGTACGTACAACCATGCACATTTACACGTGTTCCAAATGAAAAAAAAACTATATAATCGCAATTGGACGCTATAAAAAAAAAATAATTTCTTTGGTAATAAATTTATATATTCATAAACGATTACCAAATGAGTGAAATAATCGAAATTTACAATGAACCTGACAAAAATGAAGTTGATGATGTTGATAAAATAGATTTTGGTAAAATCGATGTTGATGAAAATGATGTTGATAAAATATATGAACGACATAATGGCAAACCTATTACTATGATAGAAATATCACCAAATGAAAAATACCTTATTACTTATAGTAAAGAAGATCGTTCAATTGTCGGTTGGAATGTTAAAGATATTGATAAGTTTCATCTTAAATTTGATCAAACTGTTGAAATTGATGAAAATAATGAAGATAATGAAGATAATGAAGATAATAAAGATAATGAAGATAATAAAGATAATGAAGATAATAAAGATAATGAAGATAAGAAATATGAAATCGAAAGTTTATGCGTTTCTGATGATAAGAAACTTGCTTATATTACTTGTATTACTAACCATCGTTATAATTATGTTACTACAACTATTACTGGTAAGTAATAATTATTGTATATGTTCTATGTAAGCACTGGACATTTTTCACGTATGTTATTGATCACTTTATAATAGTAATACACAAATTTTGGTCACTTTATAATTAGTGATATACAAAATTTTGATCACATTATTATAAAATAATAAATAAGATACGCGAAAAAGGTCTCAGTTGCTTACGTCATACATATCCAATAACTTTATTATCAGTCATGTTTATGATAACTGATTTACACTAGGATGCTACTCTATCATGTGGCCTTCGGCCATATGATATACATAGCAATCCTAGTGGTAAATCAGTTATCATCTACAACATGACCGATAACAATTACTTATTTGATTATGTACTAATTATTAAATTATGGTAATTGATACTTATTTTAATATTTTTTAAGTAATCGATATAAATAATAAAGATAAAAAAATTGTATTAAATTTTGGTAGACAAATTATTCCAATATATTGTACCTTTAATTTAAAAGGTGAATTTATTTTATATAGTATGGTTAATCTTATTAAAGAATATAAAATTATTTGGATTTATTCCACACAAACTAAAAATAACAAATGGGAATGTAAGAGACTTTACAGGATACACAAAGATTATGAATTAATTAGTATATCAAAATATGATAAAGTTTACCTGTTTTCAAATGATTACATTTATGAATGGAATATTAATACTGAGAGAGGTGTAAAAATATTTGGTAATAATGAGGATGAGAATGAGGTAATAAATATTATAATATTATTTTCAAACCAATCGATGTTAAATTATAATTAAATATATTTAAATACTTTTTATTTTTTTTAGTTTGTAACAAAAAATATCGGAATATTCAGTAATGGAAAGTTTATTTTTCTAAAAATCAATGATAAAATCATCGTTTATTCAATCGAATTGGAAATTCCTATTGCTTCTTTGGATATAAATGATGGTAACCATTTTTAAAAAAAATTATTATACTTTAATCATTACTCATATTAAATCATTATTTTTATTTAGATATTCAACTATATCATTTTATGAATCATACTGGTTTATTTCTTTTACCTTCTTTATTCTATTATACCCCAGATGAAGAAATTAAATATTGCTGGAACAATACATACAAAAATAGGTTTAATCAAACTTTATTTGACAAACCAACTGACAAACCAACTGATGAATCAACTGATGAACCAACTGATGAACCAACTGATGATCAAACAAAGTTTGTGTTTGGAATCCTAAATGGACGTGTTTGGAAATCTAAATTTGAAGAAAAAATGTCAAAAACTAAAGTTATTGAATGTGATGATGATTACAGGAAAACTTACAAACTCTTAAATGACTATCTATATATGAATACTGTATTTACATTATTTCAAAATGCCAAACACGAAAATAAAACAAAATTAATTGAATCAATTGAAAATTTGATTAAATGGAAAATATATGCTGATGATGATAAAATGGAACTAGAAGTTTTCAAAAAAATTGATACTGAATGGGAATTAATTAGCACGAGAACTGAAAATCATCCTTATAAATATCCCTATCTAATTGCGAGCTCATTATTTAATAATGATATTGTTATATTGACAACATTTGGTATTCTTATTTATACTTTTAGTGAAAAAGACAAAACTATTTTTTTAAACTATTTTTATTTTATGGATTTCGAAATTACTAAATATACTTACAGCAAATTTAACCAATTTATAACTTTGTTGAATTTTCTAAGTTATAAAATTAGTTTTTCACAATCTACTTTGCCGTTACCAAATTGGAATAGTTTTAGATTAGATGGATGGGTTTCAGTTGTAATAAATAATAAGTCAAGTCTTTTAAAATATGGAGTTGAATTATTAGAATTTGCAATTAGAGAACATAAGTTAGAATTAATTGATGAAATTTATAAAAAATGCATGACTTATTTTAAAGAGGATTTAATGAACAATAAGCCATTTTTAGGAATTATCACTTCTGCAATGCCATTACTAGATAAATATTATCCAGAATATATTCTAAAATATTCCTCAGAAACGAATATGATCATAGATTCTTCTTTTTATAGTATAGAGCATCAAAATAAAATTTTCCATCTTTATTCTTTTTTTCAATCTCCTCAAATAGCTAATTTATCTTTATGGACAAAATACAATTATAAAATGTTTCATTGCCACTCTGATTCATTATTGTCAAGAATATTGAAAATTATATTTGCGATTATTAAATTTTCTATTCTATATTTAATAATAATAATAACTCGACCTCTTTATTTGGCTACATTTTATATTTTATCAAAACGCAATTTTATTAACGAAAAAGAATTATTTTCCCATATTTATTTCTATCCTAAACCTAAAATTGAATTATTTGAATCCTTTATAAATTTAACAACGACACCAACAATTACTTTTATGATTCCTTATATTAATTTTGTTAATTATTCAAGAGATTATAATTGGAAATCAGAATTATTTATACCACGACCTAGTCCATTTACTGAAACAATAAATAGAAATATTTATAAAACATGGAATGGAGAAGCATTAATTGATTTTAAATGGAATGCTTATGGAAAATATTATTATGCAATGATTTGGATTTTATTTATGGCTTTGCTTGGATGCTTTACTACTGCTGCAACAATTCCTCAGCAATATATTAATGAAGAAGTTAGACAACAACTTTTTATTGCTTCGATTATACTTGGATTTATTCATCTAATTTTAGAAATTCGTCAATTTTTTTATAAAATTACTGAGTGGTTCAAGAATTTTTGGAATATTTTTGGTAAATATAAATGTTTAATTTAATTATTTTACAATATTTAAGAAAATGAAATTAATTATATAATATTTTTATATTGTAGATATAATTGCTTATGTTCTTTCAATCTACACTTCTATTTATTGGTTTCAAGCAATTGATAAGAACAATAATAAGCATCTAATTCAATTGCTTTCTTTTTCATGCTTATTTTTGGATATAAAATTTTTGTTATTTTTTAGAGCATTTGAATATTTTGGTGTATATTTTGCAATTATTATTAGTGTTGGAAAAAAGATTTTTTCTTTTTTATTACTCTTATTCATTATTATAATAAGTTTTGCACATGCATTTTATATTTTATTATCACCAAAAACTGAATTTTCACTTGAACAATATAATACAAATAATAATGATGATCAAAATAATCCTTGGAATTTAGCTCCTAGTTATAGTCAAATTGATAATAATGGAAATATAAATTCCAATCCACTTATGATTCAAATTCCTGATGGAAATACGAACATGTTTATGGATATTAAAACTTCCCTTTTTGCTACATATTTATTTTTAATAGGTATATTTAAATTTTTCATAATTATGTAAATATACATAATATTTTCTATTATTTTTAAGCAATGCTTTTTATCAATAGGTGATTCAAGTGCATTATCCAATTGGACATATACAGAAAATCCATCAATTGCAGTATTGATTGTTTTATTTTCCCTTTTAATTGTTATATATCTTATGAACTTGTTAATTGGATTACTCAGCAATGCAATTGAAGAAGATAATAATAGAGTCTCATATCTGTCTCTTATACACATCTAGATGTGTATAAGAGACAGGATAATAATAGAGTCTCATATTTGATGCAAAAGGCAGAGGTAAATAATATTATAATTAATCATTCCATTTCTGTAAATATACTAATATATCTCAACTTTTAGATTTTGGCTGAGATTGAGTTATTTTATCTATTTCCATGTCAGAGACGTTGGAAAACATGGTTTCCTGAAGTAATGTATGTAGTTTTACTTTTAAAAAAAATTTAATGTTATAATTTTATTAATTATTCAAATTTATTTTTCAAGACATTATTATGCCGATGCTGATAAGGTTCGAGAAGAAGTTCAAAGATTGATTAAAGAGGATGAATGGGATACAAAGGAATTCACAGAGATGCGGAATAATTTATTAAAAGAACTTAAAATTAATTATGATCCTATTAACAATGAGGCAATAATGGAGAAATTAAAATCTCATGAGAAATTATTGAAAGAAAATAATAACGAGGTAATATTGGAGCAATTAAAATCTCATGAGAAATTATTGAAAGAAAATAATAATGAGGTAATATTGAAGAAATTAAAATCTTATGATGAAAAACTAGATAAATTAGAGGAATTAGAGAAATTATTGAAAGAAATACGTGCAAAATAATTTTAATATTATGTTAGTTTTATAATTCAGTTTGTAATTTAAATAATTCTTTTTATATGACTTATCCAAATATTAAATATATATATTCTTTTTTTTTTTTTTTACTTAGAATATTGTAAAATATTCAAATATTCATTACTATAACATCAGTGTTTAAATATAATTCTTAGTTCGTAATTTAAATAAATCTTGATTTTCTTAACTTATCCAATTATTAAATATAAATTATCAAAATGATGCATATTAATATAAAACCATCTCCAATTTGCGAAATCAAAATAAACAATGTAAAATTTTTTTATATTCATCTTCAAGTCAGTGCTGATGACATTAAAGTAATTAAAACTTCATTAACTCCATAATTTCTAAATTTAATAAAAGCTTTTCTTGATAATGACAGATTGTTAACATAAAATCTCATAGGTTAATTCCATGGGTTGATTTTGAATATGCATATTTTTTTTTGAGTAGTAAACGTAATAAGAGATTGGAAAATATATTTATTAATACATTTATCAATAATAGAATTATTATGATTTAGGAGAATCAGTTAAATCAAAAAAAATTTTTTTATGATAATAAATAAATATTTCATTAATAAAAAAATTCTTTTTTTTTTTTTTGAGGAAAGTAGAATATCATTTAGTATTTTATGAAAAGAAGAAATTTTTTAAACATTTATAAATTGATTTATTCTAAAAATAATAAGAAAAATTAAACAATAATAATAAAATAATGATTAAAGTAGTGTAGGGTTGGATTAATCTGGTCCGGTCCCAAAAAGATCGGTTTTTCAACCTGGACCGGACTGGACTGGACTGGGACTGGGCCGATTTAAATTTAAGAAATTCGTCCCCATGATTTTAAGATCTCTAAATTACGCAACATTTTTTTTTCTATTTTAATACGATCGGCAGTCAACAAACCTTTTAGTGGTGTAAAAAAAAAAATACATATTCTGTACAATATAATAAAAATAAAAATATAGTCATTTTTTAAATAATAAATTACTTTATGTGATAAAATTAAAAGAGCATACAGTCAAACCTTTATATAACGATATGTCGGGACATATATAAAATTTTTAGAAAATATCGTTATATCAAAGTTATACCGATATTTATATGTCCTCACATATAGTGGGAAAATAAAATTTTATCGGTATATCAAGTTTTTAATAGTATATCGGTATATCAAATATCGGTATATCGAGGTTAGACTGTATATGATTATTTAACAGGTTCAAACAATTTCAATAATGTTGGTTTTTGCCTAAATTATAATTAGTATGTAATTTTAATTAGATGAATAAAAAGCCTATAATTTATTGATATATATATATATGAAAATTTTTTAATTTACACGGGTGTTCATACACGTATCACGTGACTTTATTAAAAAGTTATGTAAAAAAAAAAAAATTTTAATAAATATAATTTTAAAAGGAACATGCAGTATGTGTATTTTTGTCTGTTCTGCAAGTTTACTTAAAGAGTCAAAGTTGATTTTGAATGCCAATTTTGATTTATTTTACAAATTCTTTTTTTTTCCTGTTTTCGTTAAATTTAATTCTGCCCAACATTAAATGATCAGCATAGAAAATTTACTTTTTTGGAAACCCGTGTTTGAACACCCCGTGTACAAATAGAAATCGCCTTTTTATAATTATGATAATTTTCATATTTCGTTGAATCAGGATGTCAAAAATGATAATAATAAATTGTAATCAAATTATCAAAAATTAAGTAATTATACATCTAATTTGATAAAGTTAAATTATTGTCTTTTACCGAATATCTCGATTGGAATGAAATCTTGCAAGAACCATAGCAATTTGTTTCAGTGCCATAAAAACAATGAGCATATGTAATAATTTTCACTATAAGATTCTCTCCCAGAGTTAATTTTGAGCCATCAAAATTGTCACGTCGCGTATATTCAAAATCACCTTCATAAAGTTGATCACATTTAAAGCCACCCCTATCACAATCATCATTTTGTAAGATATTATCCCCATTGTACCCATTTACCCATGTACGACCATCCGTAAAAGCAAAAGTTGGATCTGTTGAGCCATCATCTTTATGAATCTCATATTTTTCAATAATCATTACGCCCTGTTGCAAACAACATGGGTTAAGATTAGGATCATCTAGTATAGCATATGGTTGCATTAATTTTATTTCGGCCACACCTTCTTGAGGGAATTCAAAATCTTTTAACCAACTTCCATGATCTTTTTATTATAATAAAATAGCATAAGTGTAAAAAAAAAAAGAATTAATTATTAAATTAACTATCTTGGATAAATAAAGAAAAAGTTGTTCTTTAGATAGCTTACCGATACATTGGCCATAAGATACAAAAGCAAAAGTTTTGAAGAACATAAGAAATAATACAATAATAAAAACTATAAGTTTCATGATTAATGAGTTGTTTGTATAATGAAATTAAAAAAAAATAATTATCATGGGAAGTTGTGATTCTGTTAGTTTATTTATACATCAGTAAAATTTTGGATTTGGGATTATAAGGAAAAGATTATCATATAAGGCATCCATTATTTGTATGATTTAATAATTTGTCTATTGATCCTTCAAAGAGTCTTGTTTAGATAGAACTGAAATACTACGAATACTACGAAAAATTTTTAAAAAAAAACAAAAATAGAATGGATATGAGTAAGTAATGCTAAAACTCGAATAAAAAAACCTATATTCAATATTTTTTTTATGTGAAGAGTGATACTAACCTATTTTGAAATTTACCCCTTAATAACCTTAATATCCGAAATGGGTTTATTATGGGTCGATCTGCTTACTGATCAGAAGTGATTTACCATTGTACGAAACAAAAAGAACTCTTGTCAAAATTCTATTATTTTTAATTTAATATTCACTGATTTTATTGTAAATTCTAAGTTTGAAAGAAAGTGATCAGATACGGTACGTCGGTACGTTTTCCCTTCCCGACGGGACATTTTCCTGTCAGGTTTGGCCAGAGTTATGAAAGATTATGCGGAGTTATGAACGAACACATGACCAAGCGGCCAGCGGTAGGCTGTTGTAAAAAGCATGTAGCGTGTTTCCCACATTTACTTCTTAAAAAATAATGTTTAAACCCACTACGTTATACTTTTTCAGGCATTGTCAATGATTCTATATTAAATGATACTAAATTCTCTTTTCTATTAACAAGTAGTTATTGTGCACCACTATCATATCATCCTACATTTGGAAAGATCATTTAGTAATACTGTTTATTTTATTAGTATATATTCATTTTCGGTTAGTAAGGGAAGAAAGTTAATAACGATTAGAATTCAAAATAGAATGAATTTATATTATCTTTAAAAACTCCGTAAAATGAGCCTTTCACGGATTCATCCACGGAAAATGAAAATAATTTGATAAATTCCGTGATATAAGGTTATTAATTCCGGAAATATGAGCCTTTTACAGGAAAAAGATGGAATATAAAAAAAATGGATCGACTTTTTTTACAGGATAGATATGCTAGTGTCAATCATGTATGAAATTTAAAAGGGTGCGGTCCAAAACCCTGATGATCAGAATCCCGTTATAATACAAACCTAACGCTCACAATCTTGACAAAATATAATCTCGAAAAATTAAGATCATTCTTATAAAATGTCCATAACTATATATATATCCAATATAGAATATAAAATTTTTCATATGTATAAAATTTTATAAATTTATAAACAACACATATAATTTGTATCTACATAACTAAAAAATATTCTTTGACGTTTAAATAACCCATAAATAAATTGAATTGTATAACGTGAAACGCGTGATATACGGTTAATGACTAATCATTGTAATGCCGTGACTCAACTAGTAAATTCAATAATTATGGGGCGCAGTATTATATTTAAATAAGCGTATAAAATTATTGTAGTTTAAAATTGTATGACGTTACAAATGTAACGTGTTAACTGTTAAACTGATTTATATAATCTATATTTAGTTTTAAGTGAGGGGAGTATTTACATTTTAAGAAGGAGATTCGAAGATCAAAAAGAGAGAATTTTATTAAGGTTATAATTTTGAAATTGTAAAAACAATATTTTTGACGGAAAATATGGTTCTGAGAAAAAGGATTGTTAATGGCAAAAAATTGAAAAATTGATTTATCACGGGCGTAACCTTACATCATCGTTTTGGGCTTTTTCTTGACTTGACTTTTTTTTTCAAAAAGTTTGATTTCAAATTTTCCCTTTTTCGGTTTTGTTTTTTTAAAACCTAAAAATTCGCTTTCGGGGATGGCTTTTTTTTTTAACGAGAAAATTATAGTTAAAAGATGAAATAATTAACAAAAGAATCTGATAAAATAGCTAAGCATGAAGCTTTTTACACAAAATCACAGGTAGCCATTAAGAAAATCTTTTATTAGAAAATTAAATAAGAAAAGATAGGAATAAAATTTTGATTTCACGAAAAGATAGACAAATGATCGACCAAAATGAAAATTCTAAAGAAATCGGAAATATGAATTAAGTTTAAAAGGATATAACAGAAAAAAAGAATTAAAAAATTCAAAATTTCTGAAATAATTAATATTTTAGTAAAATTTGAAACAATGAAATTAAAAAAAAAAAAGATAATAACGAATGATATTTCAAAATGTTGTTACGAAAAAGAGAAATGAAAGTGGAAAAAGAATTTGAAGATCAATGAATGGATTTTTTTTTTTTTAAAAAAAAAGAAAATGTTTGTGTATGAAATAATTTAATTTTTATATCTTTTATTTTATTTAAAATTGCTTATCGAATGTGTAATTAAAACACCATTATATGTGATAACTGATAATTATAAAGAACCTTGGGAAAATGACACATCTGAAATACAAAATGGGAAAATATTTTTGCAAGAACAAATAAAGTTCAAAAAGAAAAAAAGATTAATGAATTGAAATAACAGATAATTAAAAATTCGCATAGATAAAAATATATTGGCCACAGAAATAATCACATGAGATATTACGTCATTTTATATTAGATAACAGTATTACTATCACAATAAAAGCGTGACTGCGTGAGGGTGTAAACAATCGCGTTAATTCCCACTATAACGTTAATAATGAACTATCTTTATTCGATGTAAAGATTTCATTAACAAAAAAAAACAACCTTTTCTTCATCCTCTACACCTAAAATATCCATTAATTATTTTTCTTTCCTTAAATCTCTCTCTTTCAAATCTTTCTCTTCTCCTTCATCCACTTCATCTACTTTTTGAATATTTTCTTATTTCAAATCTTACATATTTTAAACATTTATATCTCTCTTACTACCTTCCATATTATCCCCAATATTCTCCTGCTTCAATTCTTCTTCATTTCTTGATTCTCTTCTTCATTTTCTTAATTTTCTTTATGAATTCACACTCATTCTATAATAATGTTTCTTATATCTTTTCTTCATTTTTTCAAATATAAAATTAATTTAATATTCAAAAAAAAAAATACCTTTAAAAACTCGATATCCAAGGTCTCTGAGCATGCAAAAAATCACAAGGAAATCAAAAGTTCCACAGTGGGTAAAAAACATATTTATGTTTTAATGGAACTTCCACATAGAGCTGGCAAAAGATCAAAGTTGTTTCGGTTCAATGAATATGGTGACCACCTAGTGAAAATGGCTATTAAAAAATAATTTTTCTAGAATTAGGTCGAGTTTGCATCAAAGAAAAAAAAATCAGGAAAATCTTTCCTTTAATAGATAGTGTCTGGTGATCCTGACCGAAATTATCATAATTCCATAATTCCGGAACCGAAAAAAAAATGCGTAACAGCTATTAAATAGTAAAAAAAAAATATTAAGTAAAATTTATTTTATAGTCTAAATATTTCAAATCAATGACTGAACTTGAATTTAATGGCTTTTTATTTTTTAAAATTGGTTTAAGAAAAATAACTTTATTATGATTAGTAGAATAACGATAATAATATAATAAAATTTACGTTACAAAATATTGTATCTACTTTCGTGAATCAATTAGATCAATATTATATTATTTTATATAAATTAAATTATAATAAATTCAACTATAAATCCCATTCAAACTCATCAATATGACTATAATAATTTTTAACTATACCTTTTTTTTTATAATCTTTAATTAAATTTTCTAATTGATGCTTAAATTTCACTTTAAAATAATAATTTCCAATATATAATTTTAATAATAAAGAATTTCTATCTTTCCAATTATCAAGAAATAATTTTATATCTTCTAATTTAATTGTATTATAATAAAAACAAAATTTAAATTTAAATAAATTATTTGATGATGATTTTATTAATATTTTAAAAAATTCATCCCAATTAAATTCATTATTTTTATCCTCAATCTATTTCAATAATTAATCCATTTAAGAGTTTACAATTAATAAATAAATTCTCAATTTCTGAATTAAGAGTATTAAAATTGGAAAATATTGTTAATTTAAGATATTTTAAATTTGGACAATTTTGATAAATTGTTTTAATAAGAATCTTATCATCATAAAATGTGCTGATTTCTGAAAGAGTTTCTTTCGTATTTTCAATTAATTTCGCTAATACTTTAGATGGAACTTTTGCAACTTTTAAAAATTTTTAAACGGGTAATGATAAATTTTCGAAATAATTCGAATCATTCCATTTAATATAACCATCAATAAAGTAAAATTCTAAACTTAATAAATTTGTAAGATGAGAAAGAAATCTTGTAATAGGCTTCCATCCAATTTTTCAAATGTTGAATAGTATCTGCATGTTTAATCAATGATTCTTCAAGAGTTTTGTAAATTGATTCATCTTCTATCATACTGGCAAACTTAACGTCATTTAGATTTTTTGTACTTCAATTAATTTAATAATATCATTCACATCAGTTAAAAACTCTAACACTTAATTTTTTAATCGATTTTGCATATTTTAGCCAATCCTTCTAAATGATGTTGATTAACTTTGGTAAAACAACGAAGGGATTGAAGTTCTGAAGGGCAATTTTCGGCTCTCGAAATATGATGTAATCGATTATCAAAATCATATGGAATAGAAAGGTGAATTAATTTTGTATTTCTATTAATAAATATTTTTAATATTTCATTTTTTATAACTGATAATGGATAATTTTGATTCTTCAACTTTTTTTGAAGAAATTATTACACTTTCTAAGTATGATAATTCTAAATATTTCCAAAAAAAAAAATATAATTAAATAAAGGTTTTTGATATGTTTTTTTTGTAATAAGATTATTAATTCCTTGATCTTTCAAAATATCTCTTGATTCTTTTGATAAATGTGAAATTATTACATTAAATAATGCAATAATCTTTGGAATATCATCTCTAATAAAAGGATTTTTCCATAAAATTGGTATTGCTGTTTCACATCATGTTCTGTTAACTAAAAGGCACGAATAGAGTGATTTTTTATCATTTTTTAATTCTTCAAAAATTAGGAAAAGTATGTCTTTGTTGAGATATACCATTTTTTTTTTAAAAAAAAAAACCCCGACAAAAAGACCCCCTTGATTTATTTAAATTTGCGAACGGATTATTTGTAACAAATATTGCGCTCATTATTACCTGTCTCTTAAACACATCTAGATGTGTATAAGAGACAGGTATTGCAGAATGGCTTATGTGAACTATTCCTATTGCGGTTGGTCAGGCCATATTTTTTTTTTTGTTATATAAAAAAATAATATGCTGTGGTCAGGCCATTTTTTTTTTCGTTATATAAAAAAAATTGATATAAGATCCAAAGCAATATAGAGTTTTGTCCGTAATTAACGATTATCAGGATTTATATTCGGCCAATCCGGATATAAATTTATCCGGATAAATATCCGACAGATTTTTAGAAGGTTAGTTGTAATTCTGGCCAAGACTATAACGCCTGCCGGAATTACAAACTTTATTGTAACTTAAATTTAAATTTTGTGTAACATCACTTACGCCAATGGGCTAAACTATTTATCAGAATTATCAGAGGTCGCGTTATTTACAATTTTCGTAATTTGGGCCGGCACTACAAGGAAAAAAATTTTTTTTTTTTTTTTGCGGATTTAAAAGGATAAATTTTGATGTCCGCACCCCACTCGGGTGATCATTAAAGGATATAACCTTATTATTTACGTCACAAGTGCATAGGTTATATTCTTTGATGATCACCCGAGTGGGGTGGATATCCGGATGGACGGATCCAGACTCTAGATTTGATTTAAATAGAATTCTTTTTATTATAAATATTTACAAAGATTACATAATTTTTTCGGTCATACGGTTGATCTTCAATAATAATGTGCAACTTCTTTCATTGGGAATAATAAAATATTTAACTTGGTGCCTACTACAAATTAATGGAATAACATAAAAACATGATATATTTTGATGAAAGATAAACTGAAAATTATTTGCGTAATTTATTAATTTAACTACTAAAAATAAAAATTTATATTCATGAGGAACCTTTAATACAAAACATTCTAATTCTAGTTATTTCTCCACTACTCTAAAATGATACTAAAAAAAAACTGCATTTAGCTCGATATTGCGTCAAATTATAGATATTTTACGCGAATAAGAAAATTTTTAAATTAATTAGTTAAATTTAAAAAGATTGATCTTAATTATAACATAACATGCAGAATTTTGTAAAATATACTTATTAATAAAAACAAAATTAATTTCTTAAAATTAAAATACTTGATACAATTAACTTCCATAAAATCATATTCAATTAACTAATCAACACGCTACTAAAAATTCATTATTATGAAACAAATAAAGTAGTAAGCAAAAAAAAAAATTTCAATCAAAAAATAATTGCATTTGGAATGGAATATTTGATACCTTGTTATTATTTTCACTTCCATCCCCAAAACAAGAAACTTCTTGAGATCCATCACCTAATAAGACAGCATGACTGTATAGTGCTGATTTGTTAGTTTTGTTATGGAAGAGACCAATAATATCACCATTCATTAAATGACCAGTGTCATAAGAAGTAGTTGGATTATAACGTCGTATAAGCCATTCATCATCAACACCAATTTCGCCTGGACGTAAAGTTACTAATTATTAAAATTATAAATTGTTAGTACAGTAGATGTATAGTAGTATAAACCTATCTTTAATCAACTAAACAATACCTTGTTGTTGCTTTGATATTGGCGTGACTTTTCCATTATTAGTATTATGAGAATGTAAACAATATCCTGTTGATTTATGTTTAAATCCAATAATATTATTAAGAGACACGGGATCCCCTTCATTTATACCTTTACCGCTAGTTCCAATTAAAGTCCAAACATCATTTTCTGTATCTATTTCCTGACCATTACAAATAATCTTTATAATTTTGAAAAAGTGTTAATTTTTTTTTAATATGGATAATTACGAAAAAAAATATTGATAAATACCATATATTGTTGATTATTTGGGCCAAAGTCATATTTAATTCCTTTAGTAGATAAATATTTTCCAGTTGATAAATGTATAAGAGCAATTTTTGATCCATATACAATCGGCTTTCTTTGAAATTCATTCTTTTTTTTTTTAAAAAAAAANTAATATGGAATAATTGCAAAAAAAAAAAAAATATTGTCAAATACCATATATTGTTGGTTATTTGAGCCAAAGTCATATTTGACTCCTTTAATAGATAAATATTTTCCAGTTGATAAATGTATAAGAGTAATTTTTGATCCATATACAATCAGCTTTCTGAGATTCATTCTTTTTTGTTAAAAAAAAAAAATTTACTAAATAGTTCAATTGTAAAGTTTAAGATGTGAAATTACAAAATATCTAATATCTTATGATAAAATCTTCCATTACTTCTTCAGGAGATAAGCGCCAATTGAAATAACGAACATTGCTTATATAAAAGGTTATTTAATATTTTATATTTAATTAAATTAAATTACTACAATTACAAATCGTACCTAATTTAACCATTAAACCCATTATGACGGATAGCACGCCCAATATGCAATGGTCCATCATTAAAGACAGCTTTATGCGTTTTAACTTTCTCAATGCAATAAAATCCAGCCCATTCACCATCTAAATAAATATCTAATCTTTTTTAGGGATCAGAAAGTGTATAAGCTATATGGTACCATTTGTTTAATGCAAGTCCATCATCAAGCTCCCAAATTCCAGCATTACTATCCCAGTTGCCTGTAAAATCGAGCATGCAATGAGGATCCATTTGGCATCAACAGGAGCGCGGGAGTACGGATTAAATGTTCGGTACCTAAAATATTTTATTTTTTACGATTAAAGAAAGCATAAATTAAAAATATTCAAAATCCAATCATAATGTTATTGACATGAGTCTTCAGTTAATTAACGAAAAACTGTAGACCAATCAGAAAAATGTTTATGAATTTTCAGAAGTAATGTTATTGAAAGCTTATCTTTTACTGTAGGCAAGTCAGCATGTTTAAAGATTCGTTGATCCTGTTCTTTCATGGAAATAGGACCTGAAATTAGTTCTGCCCACTCTTTAATGGTAAATTTCATCATCTTTTTTCTAAAGATTGATCAATATAATATTTTGTTTATAATAGAAATAAATAAATTTAATTTTTAAAAAATGTAAACTTTAAATTCCTTGTAATAGAGTACCAAAATTTGCAAGTATTTTTACCGATAAAAAAAAAAAATAATTTTGTAAAATGCGTAACAAGATATGAACTAACCTTATATATTGTAGTCTAATGTCGCCGATCTCACAATATCGGTAAGTTTCACAAGGGCTAAAATTCTACATGCAGTTACCGTGTACAAAAATTGTAGTATAAATTGTTTAACAAATAGAATAACTTTTTCAATTTTCACATATTTAAATATGAAGTAGATAATTTTATTATTCTGCTTATTCTGCTTTAATCTTGTCATGTTATAGCATTCATTAAATTAAATTTTCTACATATTTTTAGAAACTTTTTCTCAAATTTTCAAGTTTGATTTCCATTTTTGAAATAATAAAAAAAGTCCATATAAAAAGAACAGTATTATCGTTTAGTGAAGAAACTTGGGCAGAATAATGAGTCTGTACCTAAGAGTTAAAATTAATCTTTGTATAATTGAAACAAGGTATAAGAAGGTTACTGAAGTTGTAGTACTGCGCCATATTACTTGAGCTTCTCGCAAAATCAATAAAATTTAATGGTTAAAATTATAAACTTGAACGTAGTGAAAGATAAAAATAGTACAGTTGTATTTGAAACATGTAAAATCATTTGAATAACAATCATTTGAATAACCTCTTTAAACGAATGAAATTTATAAAAGAAATAAATCATGGGTTATAATTTGATTAGTTGATCAAAGAATTAAAAGGCTTTAATAAATATTATTAGGTTCATTTAGTTTTTTGATGATTTTTAACCAACGAATACACCTTACATGTAAAAGTTCACATTGTAATCACCTTTTCTAATTATCTAATAATGTATCTAACGATACGTTTCGATTTTACTTTTAATTAGCAAAACTCAAAATATTAGTAGTAACCGAATCAACAAATAAATAAACTGAATTTTTCTAATAAAATAATTATCATAAAATTGCTCTTATTAATTGGTTCATATTTTATTTACGTCATGATCCTTTAGTAAGATTGTTTAATGTGATGTTATAATATTCTGGTCATTTATTTTGTTGAATAAGTATCGTTCAACGGGTTTCAGTCGGAGATATAAAACAAATTGGTAAAAGTGGGGTTTTCCAAAGTGTGTTCTGAAATATAATTTGAGTAATAAGCGAAATATTATAAACAAGAAGAACTTGAACCTATAAAAATATTAAATTATAGATCACAGAATATATCGTCCGAGTATTAAAGTGTATCCTTTCAAGTAATTATATCAATTGACGTTGAAATTATTACCTTGTAAGTAATTGATAATCAAGACTTCGAGTTTATTTCGTAATTTTTAATCAATGAAAATAATGAGTTTATCTAGAATGTAGCGAAGGGCACCATATTTCTACGCAGTTTAGTCACGTGATTGTTTTACAGTCCCGTTATAAATTATTGTTGATTTTCTCTCACCATCTAATTTTTTTGCTTTCCTAGTTTAACAACATTACCAAAAACGATTGGACGGATTAATTAACAAACATAATTACGTAGAGTGATACAAGTTATGTTACTACTGAATTAATTATCAGAATAATGTAGTAATGTAAAATATTTGATTTGTTCACAACTTGGTGTTTCAAGTATTACAAATATTTGTTGGAATATTAACTTAATCATTAAATTTAATGCATCATGGAAATACTTATTATGGAAATACTTATTACTAGTATGTAATTTGATAATATCCTCCATTAATCATTATGCATAGAAATTATTAGAGATTTATTAGAAATAAATGCTCGTTCTTATATATAGAGCTGTTCTGCATCAACAAATAGTAATATAACAAAAAAGAGTTATATCTGTCTGTAGTTATATAAGAAAGTTATGTGAAAGTGCATTTCATACCTTTTTAAATACATTTTAATTATTTAATTTTAACTCTGCTTTTCATATAAAAAGTCCTTTTACCCTTTATCTCTAAAAAATTCGGAAATTTTAATCCGATATTTTTTTTGCTAATTAACGAAAAAAAGTTTAATTTATTTTTTTTAGTAATACGCACTTCTTTATTATAGTTAATGTAAAATATATACAAAAAATAAGGTTAGAAATACATACATAGTACAGTAGTACATACAATAAAATATATCTACTAATTCCACTAATTCCATAAGTCATCAGTATGATGTGATCGGCCGCAGCATATCGATTGATTTTAAAAGTTTCTTAATAATAATTTTTTTTTTTGAACTTTTTTAGACGGGATCTTTTTTTTTTTAATAATAATTTTTTTTTTGCTTTTTTTAGACTGAATCTCTTTTTAAATTTATTGTCCAATTTTTTTTTTAAACTTAATTTTTAATATTTTTATCCCGATTTTATCTGTCTTTTAGGCTTAGATTCAGTTCATTTGGATTGATGCTGCGGTACTACAGTAAGCGCGAATTTTATTTTTAATAATTTTTCTTCTATTTTTTTCTTTTTTTCATTTTTCACCTCTTATGTTTTGATCGGCGATACAGTATAATTAAAATTTTATTATTGAATAAACATGCTTTGTATGATTTTCGTTAGAACAAGTATATTTTTTCACTTAAAAATAAAAAAAAACATGTTAATATTTTATAAGTTCTAATTTATCTAACTATAAAAAAAGAATTTTTATTGTTACATTGATTTTAACTATTTAATCCTCAACAGGCTACAGCAAGTAAATATTAATTTATATTTATAATTATCTTCGTTTTTGTTAAATAATGTGACAACTGTAACATGTGTACAAATTCCTTTACTTTTGACTAAACCAAATTATTTTTTTTTGTAACATTTTATCGCTTTGGTAAGATAATATATAATATTGACTAAGTTTTTATTTTTTAAAAAATGATGCGTATAAGATTTTAATAGTTAATTTATTAAATAAATAATGAAAATATTACATACTGTAAATAAATAATGTATATAATTAAATATATAACCATTTAAAATTTAAAATTCCGTCTAACATTGTTCAGTTACATACAAAAAAAAAAAAAAAAAAATTATTTGGGTCACAGTGAGAATAAGAAAAGCTAATGTTAAACTGAATTCAAATTATAATGGTAAAAAAAGGAAATTTATCAATTACTTATTTTGGCTTTAATCTAAACATTTTCTTTGCCCCTAAATTAATTACTTTTTATTAAAGTTAGAAGATACGTTAAATATAAATAACAAATATAAAGTCAGTCAATAAATTAAAATTTACCATCTTCATTTAAAAATATCTTTTAAATATGGTCTAATGAATCTATTTGATTAATTAAATTAATAATAGATTTTTTTTTATAGCAATAATTTATTAATAAATACCTGAAGAATTTTTAGTTATTATATCATCATTTTGTTCATAATAATCGTCAGAATTTTTTGGCTCTGGAAGGTTATTAAGACTAAGTAAACTACTACCAGTGTAGTTAGCTTTTGAATGCACTTTATATGATGAGCTAGTTAAAGGTGTATTGTTATCATTGATTTCTTCAATTTTTGTTCTTCCAATTCTAGAGAATTGTCATACTTAAATTCCCATAATTTATCCCTAACTTCAATTGCTGTTGGTCGATTTAATGAATTTGCATCTAAACATCTTTTAATTAAATGCACAATGAATTGAGGTACTTTAATAGTGTTAAACCTTGGTCTAAGTCCTAAACAAATTTTCGTTGCTAAAAAGTCATTAAAAATTAAATTGTGATATGGAGATAATCCAGAAATAACTTCATACATAACTATTCCAAAACTGTAAATATCAGCAGCTTTAGTATAACTTTGTCCTCGTAAAATCTCAGGGGCAATATAAGGCAAAACACCATATATATTATTTTTTGCATTTTCTGATGGTTTGTAATCTGCAGGTTTACATAATCCCATATCAGTTATAAGAATAGTTTCGTAATTTTTTAGTACATTACCAGTATGTAGATCTCGATGAATTATTTCATTTCCATGAATATTTTCAAGTCCAGATGCAATATTGTATAAATAATTGATTTTAATTTTTAAATCTAATTCATTATTTTCATTTAAAAAATCCCGTAAGCTTCCATTTACTGCATATTCCAAAACCATCATATAATTTTTTGTCTTTGGATCTTGAGTTATTCCATATAATTTAATAATAAATGAATTATTATCAACTTTATTATGTAATGCAATCTGTATAAAAATATAAATAATATATCAATAAAATCAAATTCTTAAATTTCATTAATTATAAAAATAAATTATACCTCATTCATAAATTCTAATGAGATATTTTCTGAATTATTTAAACTTTTTAGAGCTACAGGCATATTTTGGCTTATTCTTTTCCAATTTTGATATCCATCATCCCAAAAGCTTATATTTCCATCAATCCAATTTGCTTTATATACTATACCAAACCCACCTTTTGCAATATACTCAACATTATAAAGTTTATTGTAAGGTATCCATTCTAATGCTTTTTTAACATCGTTTTTATGAGTTGATAGTTGAGTACCTTGAATAAATTCATCAATATCATCATTACCACTAGTCCAATTATTGAAATTTAGTAGAAAATGTATTGAACCACATGCACAATCACATTTTTTACACTTATTATTGTAATAATTTTTCAAAACTATCATATAATCTTTGGTTTCTGGATTCTGTGTTATTCCATAAGTGATAACAACCTAAAAATATTATATATTAGCAAAAAATTAAAGTTCATCAAAAATATTAATAAAAAACAAATACATTATACCTCATTTATTAACTTAGAAAATTTTGGACTATTTAATTTTTTCAATACTACAATCATATATTTATCGCTTCTCTCCCACTTTTGATTAATATTATCCCAACACTGTATTTTTCCATCACTCCAATTTGCTTCATAGTACTCATTTTCTGCAATATACTTAATATTATAAAATTTATCATAAGATATCCATTCTAATGCATTTTTCAAATTATCATGA